TGTAATGTATGTATGTATGTATGTATGTATGTATGTATGTATGTATGTATGTATGTATGTATGTATGTATGTATGTATGTATGTAATGTATGTATGTAATTAATGTAATGTATGTATGTATGTATGTATGTATGTATGTATGTATGTATGTATGTATGTATGTATGTATGTATGTATGTATGTATGTATGAATGTATTAATGTATGTATGTATGTATGTATGTATGTATGTATGTATGTATGTATGTATGTATGTATGTATGTATGTATGTATGTATGTATGTATGGAATGTATGTATGTAATGTATGTATGTATGTATGTATGTATGTATGTATGTATGTATGTATGTATGTATGTATGTATGTATGTATGTATGTATGTAATGTATGTATGTAATGTATGTATGTAATGTAGTAATGTATGTATGTATTGTTTGTATGTATGTATGTAATGTATGTATGTATGTATGTATGTATGTATGTATGTATGTATGTATGTATGTAATGCATGTAATGTATGTAATGTATGTAATGTATGTAATGTATGTAATGTATGTAATGTATGTATTGTATGTAATGTATGTATGTATGTATGTAATGTATGTATGTATGTATGTATGTATGTATGTATGTATGTAATGCATGTAATGTATGTAATGTATGTAATGTATGTAATGTATGTAATGTATGTAATGTATGTAATGTATGTAATGTATGTAATGTATGTAATGTATGTAATGTATGTAATGTATGTAATGTATGTAATGTATGTAATGTATGGAATGTATGTAATGTATGTAATGTATGTAATGGAATGTATGTAATGGAATGTATGTAATGTATGTAATGTATTTAATGGAATGTATGTAATGGAATGTATGTAATGGAATGTATGTAATGTATGTAATGGAATGTAATGTAATGTAATGTAATGTAATGTAATGTAATGTAATGTAATGTAATGTAATGTAATGTAATGTAATGTAATGTAATGTAATGTAATGTAATGTATGTATGTATGTATGTATGTATGTATGTATGTAATGTATGTATGTATGTATGTATGTATGCATGCATGCATGTAATGTATGTATGTATGTATGTATGTATGTATGTATGTATGTATGTATGTATGTATGTATGTATGTATGTATGTATGTAATGTCTGTATGTATGTATGTATGTATGTATGTATGTATGTATGTATGTATGTATGTATGTATGTATGTACGTATGTATGTATGTATGTATGTATGTATGTATGTATGTATGTATGTATGTATGTAATGTATGTAATGTATGTATATATGTATGTATGTATAGTATGTATGTTATGGTATGTATGTAATGTATGTATGTATGTATGTATGTATGTATGTATGTATGTATGTATGTATGTATGTATGTATGTATGTATGGATGTATGTATGTATGTATGTATGTAATGTATGTATGTATGTATGTATGTATGTATGTATGTATGTATGTATGTATGTATGTATGTATGTATGTATGTATGTATGTAAGGTAATGTAATGTATGTATGTATGTATGTATGTATGTATGTATGTATGTATGTATGTATGTATGTATGTATGTATGTATGTATGTTATGTATGTCATGTATGTAATGTATGTATGTATGTATGTATGTATGTATGTATGTATGTATGTATGTATGTATGTATGTATGTATGTATGTAATGTATGTATGTATGTATGTATGTATGTATGTATGTATGTATGTATGTATGTATGTATGTATGTATGTATGTATGTATGTATGTATGTATAATGTATGTATGTATGTATGTATGTATGTATGTATGTATGTATGTATGTATGTATGTATGTATGTATGTATGTATGTAATGAATGCAAGAATGTATGTATGTATGTATGTATCATTGCAATGTAGTGTAATGGAATTGTATGAACATTTTTGTGCAGGTTTATGTAGAAATGTGTATGCATAAAAGTATGTGTACATCTATATGTGCATGTGCTTGCGCATGCATATGCATTTGTATGTGTATGTATGTGTGTCTATGTGTAGATGTAGAGGTATGGGAGTGTCATTTGGCAGTGCTTGAACGCGTTTGGATGTGTGTTGGATGTGCTTCGATGTGTCTAGATTCTCAGTCTAGAGGCCTTGGTTTGGCGAAAGTTGTCAAGGGGCCTTGCTAGACTGGCCGTCCAATCATTGGCGAATGTTGCCAATCGAACTTCAGCGTTCCACACGCTCGGCGAAACAAAGATGAGTTGATGTAAACATGAGCGCAATGGCAGCAGACACCTTGAAATAAAGTAGTATGTTTCATTCGACAAAAGTTGCTGGTCATCTACGGTGCCTGAAAGACTGACGGGGCGGTCCTGGATCCAGGCAGTGACCTACAACACGGTCATCGACAGTATGGCCAGAGCCTTACGGGTCGTTTCAGAATGTTTTGTCGTATGCGCTCTTTCCTCCCCTAAACTAGTAAGATGCAGTGAAACCGCCAGAGCGCGCGTCCACCCAACAGGCTGTCCCTTTATCTCTCTGTTTTCCCATTAATTGGCAACGATTGCCTGCCATTGCGAGTCACATCCTGCAGGCAGGGGCATAGTCTTTTCACGAAAAGTAGCGATAGCTAACCTGGAGTTCTTTCTTGCTCTAGCAAGTGTAAGGGCAGCAACTTCCCGACCGCTGTGGTATATCATTTCCCCCCCCCCCCCGAAGGGTTAAATTTTTCCCTGGACCGGCCTTTTTCACAGTCAAAGTGTGGGGGAAAGGGGTTTGCCAGACGCGGGAATGTGTTCAAAATGAGTCCCGAGGCGAGATGGTTGTTCAAAATTAATTCCGAGGTGAGATTTGGGCTTGTTTGCCAGGCAAGGCGTTACTCCTGCACAAAGGCAAGCCATTGGACGGGTTTGCGGGCACCAAGCGATACGCACACGACAGAGTGCGGAGAACACAGCCGGAAGCAAAAGCACAGGGCAACTCAGACTCCAAAACGAGGCTCGCGCGGGCAAAATGGAAACCGCTGACAAATACTTCAAGCATTGGGCTCAGAGATGCACAGTGCACTCTTTCGGGTGCGTCCCTCGTGTGGCTTGGAGATGCTTGGAGTGGAGGCTCAAGCTTCGTTCGGAGACATGCCCACAGATTCAGCTACGCACAGGCGTGCAGCATGCCTTGTTGTAAGCATTTCGACAAAAGCCTGTAGCACGAGCTCAATTTGCAGGCTTTGATGCGTTCCAGCTTTGTTCTTGTTTCCCGAGCTGTGTATCCCATGGAGGAGGAGGACAGGGAGTTGCTGGAGGCGGTTTACCAGGAGGATTTCGTGGCGCTGGATGGCGCTTGGCGAATCCGCGTGGAGCTGGGCTGCGTCTTGGTGCTGCGCCTGGGTGCAAAGTACCCGGAGGAGGCGCCGGAGGTGGCCCTAGAGCTGGAGCCATGGCCGGCGCACGGGGACGCCTTGGTGCGGCGCCTGGAGGACTTGCGGCCACTGTGGGCCGGCGACTGCCTCCAGTGGGTGGAGAGCGTCATCGCCGAGTGCAAAGCCGCAAGAGACGCGTCCGAGTGCAAAGCTGCGACAGAAGCGGAGGCTCCAGAGCCCGAGGCCAGCAGTGTGCCGCTCACCGCGAGCACTGCCCGCGCCGCGGAGCGGTCACTGCTGGAGGCGGGCTTTGCCGCGTGCGGTCCAGGCCTTTTCTCCGCGAGCGACCGCGGGGTGACGGTGGAGCTGCAAGAGGAGCTCACTGTCACGGTTGACGGGGTGGACGCGGAAGATCTCGGGGATTGGTCCGCGATGCAACTCAGCGCAGACGCCGAGAACTTCGGCTCCCGGCTTTTGGAGTGGGTCGCGGCGCAGCGCTCGCCCGAGCCAGGTTTCCTGGAGGATGCGGAGGAGAGCAGCGGCCCGGACTTCCTCCCCAGCCCCGAGGAGCTGGGGGTGAAGCGCGACAGAGGACTCCTGGTTTACACCTGGGGCAAGGCGCTGCGCAAGCATGCCCCAGGCGACAGCGAGCACAACTTCAATGCTGGGATTCTGAATGGCCGGGGAGGGGGTGCAGATTTGAAGTCCATGAATGGCCTGTGGGACGAGGTGCAGAGTAATGTGGCTTCCTGTGGGCTGTTTCCGAGATGGATTTCCATGGTTTGTGCCAAAGTGGAGCATTCTGACCTGAAATGCATCTCCATCAACTGCACAAAGGGAAGGCATCGATCTGTGGCTGCAGCCGAGATCCTCAAGAAAACCTACTACCCACAAGCTACAGTGAAGCACCTCACCATTTACTGATCGCAGTTGAGAAAGGATGAAAACGCGGCGCTTGACAAGCATGCCTTCGACTGCAGTGGTTCTTCAGTGTTCACCCCTGAGGCTGCTCAGCGCGGGCCCGAGCTGTGCAGAGCTGTGCAGAGTTGCGCAAAATTGAAGCGCAGTGGGGTGGGTCAGTCGCACGCGCCAGTGCGCCAGCCTGGCGGTCCAGATGCTGCCACCTTCGGCGCCCTGATCAACGGGGCCGCGGAGCCAGCAGCTCGGAAAGGCTCAGCAGGCGACCCTTTGATCGACATCGGCTCGTTGAATTTACCCGCATTTGGCATTTGTTTCAGTGCCGTTGATGCATTCACTAAGGTTGGGTGATGCGGGGGTCTCAGCACGGCATGAGTTGGCTCGCGTTCGCCTGCGCAGCCTGCGAGCGAGTGATGCAGGTGGAGAGTGCGCAGGCTTGGTTCGAGCTGGCCTGGCTCGTGCTTCCCTGGTGAAGAATGAGTTAGTTCCCGGGGGGCGACTCGTTGAGAAATCCATGGCAGGAGGATGGCATACTTTGGGGTGGCAGACTCAGCGCCCACCACCCACTGCAGACTAGATGTTGCCCCTTTTCGTCACAATCTGCCCCAGGTCCCATGGAACGTCGTCAGCTGGAATGTCCATACCCCAGCCATTTGCAGGGTGGTCAAAATGATCGACCCTTGTAGGACCCTCTCAAAAGAGGCGGTGTACGTTGTCAGGGTCCCATTCCTTTCCAAAACTTTCCCCGCCTGAGGCTCTGCTGAAGTCTTGCCAGCATGCTTCGCCGCAGCGCAAGGAGGAGGCTGAGGATCTCTTCCGGGAGATGGCACGCCCCCGAAAGGGTGGGGGCGGGAAGGAAGTTTGCCATGAGCTGCATGTGCAAGATGTCCACCATGGTTTCTAGTGAAACTTCACAGGTGACAGGCGTGCATGGTAAGTTGTAAGATTAGTATGTGCAAATTATTTAATTGGACATAATATGTACACACGCACATATATATATATATATAGATAAACATACATAAACATATGTATTTCATTCAAGTGCCAAGATTCAGGGACTGCAGCCGAAAGGACGCCCGCATCGATAGATAGATAGATAGACAGACAGATAGACAGATAGACAGATAGATAGACAGATAGACAGATAGACAGATAGACAGATAGAGAGGGGGGGGGGGGGTGGGGGGTTGGGGGGGGGGGGGGGGAGGGGGGGGGGGGGGGGGGGGGGGGGGGGGGGGGGGGGGGGGGGTTGAAATGGGGGGGGGGGGGGGGGGGGGGGGGGGGGGGGGGAAAGGGGGGGTGGGTGGTCAAGTAATAGATAGACAGACAGATAACTAGATAGACAATAGACAGATAGACAGATAGACCAGATAGACAGATAGACCAGAGAGATAGATAGATCCGATAGATAGGTAATTAGAAGATAAGACAGGGAGGGTAGGTAGATAGATAGATTACGAAAGGATGGGGTAGGATAAGATAGGACTAGGATAGATAGAATCAAGAGGCGGGCGCCTCGAGGTGACTCGCGGCACGGAGCCGGACCTCGTGACGCTGCCGCGGGCTCGTGTGCTTTGCGGCTTGGGCGAGATAGAGGTCAAGAGGCTGCTGAGTTCTAAGGGTGTGTGGGTGCTACAAGAATTCCACTGCGAAAACTGTGTATATGCGAGAGCCACGATTTACTCATATAGTCAGTATGCAGGGTTATAGCTAACGTATTTGCAGGGGGTAGTCCTTACGGCCCCCTGCCTAAGTCCTTGCAGAGGCACCCAAAATGGAGTCGGTCCACCTGAGCTGAGGGTGACATTGATTCGACTCCTTGGGAAGGAAAGGGCCAGCACCCGAGTTGGTGCATGGGCGAGCTCAGACACGAGAGCATGTAGTTTCTGAGGTAAAGGCAGTATGTGCTGAACTGGGCGTGGACTATGCGCAGGGCTGAGCATCATTGGCTTTACGGTCAGGATACCTCCGCTGGCAAACCCTGTAGCTTTCGTTTGAGGATCGCATCATCCGTGAGCAGCCGGTCAACCGCGATGTAAAGCGATCAGGTGTTCATGCTCAGGTGTTCGTACCTCGGTTTGCTTGAAGGGCTATTGAGGTGCATTGCTTTGGCCTTGCTTGCCAGCAACAGGCATCATTTGGCACCCAGTTCTACTTGGGAGTACCCTAAAGGGTCCAACTTAAGACTCACACCTGTTCCTCTAAAGCGCAGCATGCCTCAAAACAGGGTCGTTGACCCCTGTTATAAGAGTCACCCACATCTGCAAATCTTCGGGTTCCCTCAGGTCCGAGCAGTTCAGGCGGCTCTCCCGCTTTTCCCTGCGGACCCGCCGCTCGGAAGTGCCAGTGCCGTGGCATCGGCCAGGGCCTTACTTTATCCAGATCCTCAAGTGATGCACTGCAAAAGGAGGGTGCTCTTTTTTCACATGGACGCTTAATTGGGCAAGCGTGCGCCCACCTGGCCACCCGAGAAGTGTAGATCTGGCAAAAGGACTTCCGTGGCGTGAGGGGTTCCTGAGTTGGCCTGGTGGTTTGGTGGTCTGGCTTGGCCGCCGGCTGCTTCGCCACTGATTTGACTGACTTCAGGTTGCAACTGAGTGGCAATGCGAGGGAGGTTAAGAGGTTGCCAGCCCCAGAGAGCGGGCGAAAAAAGCTCAAAGATGCCTTGGGCGGCTCGGAGTTTTTGCCGACTGCGACGAGTCAGACTCGTCTTAGGTTTGCACGGTGCAGCCAGCCTTTCACACTTCGTTGGGTTGGGCACTGGCTCGAATGCTTGGCCGCCAGAGCGGCGCCTTTGCTTGCTCCCCAGCCGGGGCAGGAGCAAGTATGAGATCTGGGATGGGGGAAGCAGGGAGCACAATCTACTTTTGGGGATTCTCCCCTTCTTGCTTGCCTGCGTCCCTGATTATTTGTGTGTGTGTGTGCGCGTGTGTGTGTGCGTGCGTGCGTGCGTGCGTGCGTGCGTGCGGGCGGGCGGGCGGGCGGGCGGGCGGGCGGACGGGCGTACGTGCGTGCGTGCGTGCGTGCGTGTGTGTGTGCGGAGTGGCAGAATACCCTGCCACCACCATCTGGCTTTCACTATTACCGCAGGGGGCGTGGCGGTTTCCCCGTAGCCACGCCAACGAAGCTATCGAGGATGACTGGATGCATCAAGGGAAGCCTTGATTTGTACCTGCACCCGTTTTGCAATGTCCTTTTGGCCCGTTGTTTCTCTCGCTGTGTGTGCTTCATGTTGAATCTTCGGTTTCGACACTAGAGGGAAACCGAGTGCATCGCGAGCCGAAACTTATCCTACTCGAGACTTATCAGTTGTATTCGAGACTCATCAGTTGTACTCGAAGGATTGGCACCCTCCCTTGGGAGTTGAAGTGTGATCACCCCAACTTGAGGGAACCTTGGGTGTACCCATCGTGTGACCCCGGGCCGGTTCGCCGGAAAATTTGACCTCAACGTTCTTATCATAGACCAGCGGAATTTCACGTTTAAGCAGGAACGAGGTTTCACTAAAGGGAAGACAGCCACCAGGTCATAGTGACGTCTCACGGGCGCCTGGGCGCTGCCTGCTGACCTTTTCATGCTTTGCCTTGTGTTGATTTGACCTTGACATGATCTTGCGTTGTCATGGAATTGAATCTTGTCGGTCTCAGTCTTTCTCAAGGTTGTAGCCATGTCCCGCCGTGATGATCGTGACAGATCCAGAACTCGACGCAGACGGGACAGGAGCCCGACTCCGGCACGTAAAGCTCGCAGGCGAGAATATGACACCACCGCGGTCTCGGTCCAACCCGATGACGTGGCAGCACAATCCGAACATCAATCTTCCCAGTTCCATGCCACAGTTGCAGAACAACTACCTGCAAACCTGCAAACCCCTCCGGTGACGCAGTTTCATCATTCGGCGCCGTGTTTCCACCAGTGCCCGCCGGTTAACTACTCATTGCCGTTCCCTCTGGAACCCGCACCCACCAAGGACATGAAGACAACAATGGTGCTGCCGGACAACACACAAGGACGTCACCCGGAACCTGCGGCAGCAACGAGCCAGCCGGCTCCGGTACCAGCGCAGCCTAAGAAGTCTTGGCTCACCCCACCGGAGGAGTGGCAACCCGGGGAGGGCTTGCTAGACAAGAATCGCCTGTACTCCTTCACACTACCCATGACGGTCGCCAACACCCCGCACAATTCGCAACGTGAGATGTCGGGCATGGACATTCGTGACGTTCGCCTGGTTCAGGTCATCCACGGCGGCATTTTTCGAACTGGCTGCTGCGACCGTTTGCACATGGACGACGATTTGTGACCTGGGAAGGGTTTCGCACACGTACAGAGGCCCTGCTTTGGAGTACTTGCTCAAATCTTCTGCGCCGATCTCAGCCCCTGAACTTGCTCACTTTGGAAAAGGACCTTGCGGGTTCGATGGGCCTCAACATTAACGACTTCAATCAGCGGATTAAGGTTCATGATCACCTGGGCAATCTCGCTCTTGAATTCCTACATCAGCATCATCAAACCATCAAAGCCCACTCCCCGGAAGATGACACGCTGCAGAAGTATCACAACCTCAAACGCGAACATGAGCTACTTCAAGCGCAGTACTCAGCATCACAACAATCGTCGCCTCCTTCTACGGTGTTCAACCTCAACACCAACCACGGATCATTCAATCTCTTCACGGCATGTCGCCTCCACCTGTCAAGCAGGTCGCATCGAAGTTTCTGACAATGCGCAGCGCGCCGGAGGATATCATCAAGCACTACACCTGGACCAGTGACCAACCCCGTGTCTTCCTCAAGCAGGCTCCTACAATCACCACTATACCGGCATTGATGAAATGAAATGGGCCAATCCATCCCGCCTCAATGGCAACAAATCTCTGGATGCGATGGCAGTTCAACTTCAACAAGCACGTCAACGTTTGGCGTAGGACTTGCCGTCAAGGGCGGCCGCACTCACCATCGGCAAGGAACTGGAGGGAGTGGAAGACTGCGAGTGATTCATCGGCGGTGGTGTGACCAGCTCCGAA